ATTAAGGGAAAATGTGTTAAAGACCAAATGGTCGTAGGGGTTAAAATCAGCTCTCTGTATTCAAAGAAGGACCATTAGTGTGAGCCTCCAGCTTTTATATCAATCCATTAGGAACAAAGTGGTTCAGTCAAGTTTAACTTTTGGTTGCTTGTGGATTTTCCACAGAGGGAAGAGATGGGGGATGGCCAGGTATCTATGCAGAGCAGTAGAAGAAAGAAAGAAAAATAAGAAAGAAAGAAAAAAATTAAATCCAACTAAACAGTAAGCAAACTTACATTCTAAAACTATACGATAGCTTCTTTGGATGTTTTGTGGTTGATTGCATAACAAGATGTTTACTGTATAGTCTCTTCCAGGCTATCATTTAAATATAATTATGGGCTTTCAGAAACATGCTCTGCTGCTCTAACTATGATAGTGTTTGAACATCTTGAACAGAGAGCGAGGCAAGTCAACAGATGGCTTTCGCACAGTGGAAGAACGTCAGATGCTCTGCATTAGAGCGATGCAGTCTGCATCAACCAAGCCATTAACAGCTACTATTCTCTAGTTTTACCTGCACATCTGTAAAGACAGTTATAAAGGTCTTTTGCTCCATTTGGGGTCCATTCTAAGGCATTCTAAGGTCCATTCTAAGAACAATTTTTGGTTTAAGCCTTTCTAATTTCACAATGAGTAAAGGAAGACTCTCCCTTCAGCACAGACACAATGACCCAGCATGGTTCAATGTTGAGAATTTTTTCTTCAGTTGGAATAGCTTATAAGTAGTTCTGCCAATCAGTGAGACCAAAACTCATTTTAAAACAAAGTGCTTGCAAATCTTCCTTAGGATCAGAACAAAAGGCCTTAAACACTGGTATAGATTAAAAACACATGGAATCTAACTGTGTTGTAAATACATCACCTTTAATTGGTTACTTGCATTCTGAAAATTCCCTAATACCACATTTAACAATGTAACACACATAGCACTGAGGAATTCTGATCATCTTCTTTTGTAGCATCTGATCATATTTCAGATGAATATATCTGAGCCAAAATAAATAAATGAGGATAAATTTCAAAGTGGTATTTTAGAGTTTTACTGGAGAAAAAAAATCTTTTAATAGGATCCATACTATATAAAATACTCCTGTCTAAATAATTTGCACTAGAGTACAGAACTCCTCACAAAAAAGATCCAGTTGGTGTAAAAGTGGTTTGGGGGTGGGGGGTGTTTTTTTAACACAAATGTGGGCAGATGGTCAATGTTAGCTGGATTGTTATTAATTATTATTGCAGCTGCTGACTACAGAAAAATTAACATTCCTACCTTAGACTTGGGACATAATTAAAGATGGGAATTTTTGCCACAGTAAAAAATGATGCATTGACTTTCTGACATTTCATTACCAGTTACAATGAAAGGAGTTGGCTTAAGAAATTACAGTCTTAAATTATCATCTGACTCAAGATTCCCCCCCCCCCTTTATTTCTGTAAGCTTTCAAAAAACCTCTTAGTTTCATACACATCATATATTATTTCTAAGTATATTGTGTCCTATATTAGGACTAACAAAAACGTAATTCCCACAATGCTAGAGTTTCTGTAACTAATATTACACTATTTTAGAAGGTATTGCTTCTCTTGTCAATATCAAGAATTTACAAGTTCAGAATCATTGTATCTAAAGAAATAGTGTTCATTTGCTCTGTCCTTTAAAATGGACAATTTCCTCTCACAACTTCAGTCACCACAAACATACTTCTAAGAGAAACCGTGGCCTTTGTAGTCTCAAGGAACTCAGCAATCATATTGCAATTGCCTAGGAGACCAAGGTCAGAAGGCAACACAGGATGATCTGCTTGATCTCTCACACATCACAGCCTGTTACATTTTACCCTATACTTCACCAAAGCCTTTCAGAAGACGTACTGGTATGACAAGGGCAGAAAGGCAAAAACGATGAAATATTGGTGTTTGAAGTCCCTGAATTAGCAAGGACTGGAGAAGGCACACCCAGATTACTCTCATCACACGAACCTTGATGGAAATATCTGAAGACCAATCAGAACTGAGAGAAATTTTTCTCCAGCCTCAAAGCTGATGATCAGTATGACTTGTAAGAAAGACATCAGAAAGGCATCTCAGCAGAGGGATTTTCTGTACTACTTGAAGTGTTGTTCTGCTCTATTCAGGGTCCTTCTTCCTAAATCTGATGCTTCAGAGAAACATAAAAACAGAACTCCTAGAACAAGTACAGCAGCAATTTATTCTTGGCTTCAGAACGTGATCTGGATGAAGCCTGAGATGTAATGATAACCTTTCTCTTAAAGCAGAGTGGTAAATTATATGATCACATTGAGAACCATGTTGGAAACCTCCCTTCCCAAACGCTCTTAAAAAAGGGAACAAAGACAGTAAATCAGATTCCTATGTTTTGAGTCAAGAACAATTACCACAACTATCTGGCCTGGCTCCTTCCACATCAGCAGAAGTGCAACAGTCACGTTCTGCATCACATTTCCCACCACTACGTATAAAGACTTCATATGAACTACTCAGGAGCCTCCTTCAGTGTGATTTTGATAAACACAATCACAAACTACCATGACGTATTCTAGTGAAACCACAAGTGGCCAATGTATTTTTGATGATGCTTAAGGCATACATGAGATACACAAGATCATTCTGGCCTGAAGTTTTTATTTGACTATTCTAGTTAAGAAACAGATCCCATGCGATGCCGATTCGCCCCCAACTCACGAGACTGAGGGCAGAAAAGGCATATGTCAATGAGAGCTGGGAGATTGCTCAAATTTTGAATGTCTGAAATTCTCTTTCAGCATTTTTATTGTTAAAAAGTTGAAATCACAAAATCTGCAGGAACTCTGTAAATCTGGCAGTCTAATTTCTACTAATTGAAAAAAAGAAGTTATAAATAGCTTTAACTCATCAATTAAGCCATTTTGTTGAAACATTCTGAGCATTCAAAAAAACCCAATCTAATTTGAAAAATTCACCGATATTAACATTTCCTACAAATGTCCAGGCTCCAACTGGCATTTTCCAATACAAATGTATTCAGCGGAAAAGCTCCTCACCGGTTGTCTGTGGGGTTTCAGAACACTCGATAACATCCAGCAGCCAAACTTAAAATCGCAAAGTACAAATCAGAAAACTACTAGACAGAAAAGCACTGATGTTCTGCTCCATCAAATATGATTTGTAATCCAGCAACTTAACTGGTTTTATGACATACAGCCAATCCACAACTATTCTGATCTACACAGCTGAAAAATCCAAGAAATCAATAAAATGTACAGGGGAGACAGTTTTCATGAGGAATGGATCTGTCATGCATGACACTTTGTAACTTCATTAAGCGATATAAAAAAAATTCATTAATGAATCAGTAGTATACCAGTCTACTGGAACCATATTTCCGCAGGGGTAATTAAGCTTCTGTGAAGGTCAACAACAAATGGCACTGTCTTTCGTGAATGCCTTTTTGGAGTGGGCACATGATGTTCTGCCAGACAGATTCTCATGCTGGCATTCCACTTGATCAGGAAGCACGCTATATAAGGAGATTTTTTTTTTTTTCAGAGGCCTGTTTGGGGTTTTTTTGATGAAATGGCTCTCCTTGTTTTTACAGTACACAAGCAAAAACACATTTAAAATTTCAGGATGTGATTCAGCAAGACATTTTCTTTGCAACTTACCCTTTTGTAAAGCATGTGGACCTCCGGCAGGTGGGCTTAACAATGTCTAATAAGAAAGAATAGCGCAATAAGGACTTCGGTGGTAAGAAATATTGACTCGTTTCTTCACATTCCTCTTCCAAGAAATCTTTTAGCATTTGAATAGAGGAATCATTGTCCTGACCATGTTTCCTTTCCATTTCTTCTACTGTTTCAAGCTTAAAAAGAAAGGCCCCTTTTGGTAAACTCTTCTTGCTGCTGCAATCAGGATTGATGTTTGGATCCAGATTCTTCTCTTCAGAAGTCAAAGAGGAACTAGCTTTACCCACTTTGTCAGCGACTTTGTCCTTGAATAAGTCGTCTAGATTCTGATCTGGGAATCTTTTCAATATCTAAGAACAAATTGTGAGAAACAAACTGAAGAACTGCATTTGATAAACAACTTGACAGCAGACTCTGCAGTGAGTAAAAATTCCTTCAGAGATGCTCAGAATAAAGCAAGTAACCATTCAGTATTATTTTCATGAATATTTCAGAAAACGTTAGCATCAAGATTTGCTGACCTACCAACAATGATGTCAGGAACAACCATAAATAATTGCCTTTGCAAAAAGACCTTTCCAAGTGTGTGAAAAGGTAGCAAAATACATCATTTTCTAGTCACTATCAGCCACTGTGCCCCAACTGTTTAAAGCCATCTAAGCCACTGGAATGCATTGCAGTCCTTAGAAAACTCAGCATCCGGGCTGAAAAAAAAGAGACAGAATATAACTTTTCTGTTGATATCACTTATCCTCTCTCCACTCCTCAACGCACACCACTAAACCAAAAATTTAACCCCAATCTTCATGAAACAAAGCAAATCCAAGTAACACTAATAGACCCACCTGACCAGAAGCTTGAAATGGAAACAGCTCTTGGTGAAGCTTTGCAATTAGAAAATATCGCAGCCTGGAATTGGGAATGCCAAGCTGTAAACAAAATCCACAAGCCTTTAGTCCATGTGATAAAGAGAAAATACTGGTCTACAGTGTCTTACAAGTTATCTATCATCATATACAGGAATAGAATTATGTCACACTAATATATTTTGCGCCTTCAGAGATATCAGTATTAATTGATAATACCTAAACACTTATAACTTCCATACCTAGGTATTTTCAAGGAAACTAGTGGGTAATTATTGTTTGTATCTCATGGTTTTTACTTTCGCTGTAAATGAACAGGAACGTAACAAACTTTTATGTGAGGCAAGAAGAAAAACAACACGCATCGCGATTTCTTAGGACAGGTACTACCTGTTTTCTATAAAAAAGCAAAAAAGTGTCTCCTTGCCTTTTTAAACAAAGAATTATAAGACACTAACAATGAAACAAATGTACCACAACTGGTTTTCAACTACCCTCCATCAGCTTCTCTCAGATATATACAGGACTTCACTGATTCCATTTAGTCTTGTACAATCTGAAATCTTTCTCAACTCTTTTTTCAGTTGCCAGGGAAACACGCAAACAAGGCCCCTCCTCCCACAAACCACACAGTCAGATTTTCTTTGCTGGGAAATTCACAGGCATCAGCATTTCTGAAGCAATGAGGCTCCTGCAGGGAAAACCACCTTCTTGGTCATGGTGTAAATTCACGCCTTCTTGAAAAAACATCAAATGGTAGCAAAGCAATATGGGACTAGGATCTGAACAATAACAGCAGTATGATTACGCCAGTATACTGATGAGAAATCAGAAATCACGTCAGATGGCTTTCTCATTCAAAAAAGTATCTTTAGCTCTGGGCATTACTTTCTTTTCTAATACAATAGATCATTTTCATATGTTTTTGAGCACATTGCAGTTTGAGCAGTTAAATAAATATTAGCGCAATTTTGGTACTTACACAGGTTGGAGACAGGAGAAATTCTTGGTATTTAAATCCACATGTTTCTAGTGTTTGCAAGAGTTCATTTCTGGCAGTGAAAAGAATCAAAAAGCAATTACTCTCTTCATATAGCTTTTAGGTGGCTTTTTATCCTAAATAAAAAACACATTAAATGCAACACCTTAAGTACCAAGACGTTTAAGCACGTTCAGTGAAAGAACTGGACAGAAAACTACAGATATGAAGTCATCCATTTCTGAACTTGAGGAGACAACATACGAAGTTCAGTGTTAGTGTGGCCAAAAATGACTATTACACATTCACAGGTATCTCACACTTACTTCTAGTGCAAACGTCCCTTCAAAAAACATCCCATCTCTTGGAGAGTACTTATAGCGTGTCAACAAGGAAAATAATCAGAGGGCCAGACATTATCTTTATGGTGAATTATGAAACAGGCGATTAAAGCCACTACAAATAGCTCACTACTTCCCTCTGTTCACAAACATGGCATCAGCTAAGCCTAAAAAAAGGGCTAACTCAAGGGATGACAAAAATTGGTGGCTTCGATAGTAACAGTGAGGTAGGACTGTACTTTATAAACAATGGAAAATCACTGAAATAGAAATCTTCTTAAAAAGACTTGCCTTTTGTATTCCATGCAGACCACGCCAGGCTGGAACTATACAAAAAGCATGAGCTGTGATCTGTACCTGATACTGTATGTGACACTGCATCCCAAGCATTACAAGAGAAAACAAGTGTTCTGACTGGGATGCTTTCTGTGCTACCATTTATTCCAAACACTGGCCAGCAAGGCATAGCCTAGGGAATCGCAGGTCTACAGCAGCAGCCTGCACCTCCAACAAAATGTTCAAGTGTTCACAGAGGACTGCTGCATGCTTAACTAGCGAGAGTGCTGAACACATCTTCCAGCTGCCTGCCATATTGATTAAGGAGCATGATGTGTAGGGTGGCTGCTCTTTTGGTGCTTTAAGGAATGTTATGGAAACATCCTACTCTATTCCAGCAAGAAATGAGAGGAAGACTACAACCTCCTGTCTCCTGCTTTGCCAACAAGAGAGGAGAACACTCCTGCTGCCATTAGGTAACCTTATTGACAACTTTCCTTTTCCACATTTCAGATGAAGACTATATAGTCTTCACACTGTATCCCTGGACCATTTTATGGCAACTCCGAACCAGTGATAATCTACTACCAACAAAGGTACTGAAGAAACCCCTGTACTGTACTGTGATCTTAACACAATCTACCCTGAGCTCCTGTCATGGGTAAAAAACCAAAACCTCTGAGTGCAATACCTATTGCTATTTTTCTTTTAAAATTGATATTGAACCCTCCTAAAAGAGATAGGATTATCAAATAAAATCAATGGAGTCAACTTGTTATAAAATATTTTATCCGCTTAGAGAAAGAAATAGTTATTTAGCAACGTCCTTTCACAACCTAAGATTTTCATTCCTAAATTAAAACAGTATTTTTAACTCACAGCTGCTAGCTGTCTTATCTCACTCTATTTTGTTAACTTAAATTCTAGGAAATAAAAATCCTGCCCTCTCCTTCTAAGTAAAATGTTCTTTATTAGAAATGAAAACCTGCATAAATTAGACTTTACCTTGCAGAAGAGGATTCAAATCCTTTAACGTTTTCTAAAAGTAGGTACCTTGGAAGCTTCTGGAGCCTACAAGGAAAAAAAAAAGATCAACAAATCAGAGTAACAAGATGTAAACTACATTATATTCATTCACAGATTTGTTTAGCTACAAGAAAGATCAAAGTATTTCCACATCATGCTACCTGCTCAAGTTTCACATCCTTAAAAAAAACGTATCTCAACTTTCAAGGTTGCCTAGATCAAATCATTCCCAACTGAATTAAAAATGTAGACTGCTGGTAATTGTAAAAAACAACAAAACCCACTTATGTTCACACGGACTGCTGTACCCTTCTGTACCCCATGCATGTACTTCTGAAAATGCTTACCACTGTTCATTTCCTAAAGCATAATATTATTATTTAAGAGACAGAGTTTGTAATAGGAAAGATAATTGTCAGGGGAAAAAAGATAACTATTCAGCCATGGAACGGAAAACTTTTGTTTTAAAATGCTTAAACCCAAAATCAATGTCAAAATGTCACATCAACTTTACTGATAACACATGAGAACCAGTATTCCGCTAATTGCTTTAAGAAATATGACATGTTTAGAGCTCAAACTGCAGATATTCTCAGTTTTCTATATTTAACTTTTTCATTTTGATGGGGGAAGGGGAAGGAGATGACTGAGGTTTAGCAAGATCAATGCAGAGGTCTGGAAAGGGGCTCATTCCAAAAACAGCACATTAAATCTCTGGAGAAAGGAACATGGCAAAACTGTGCCAGGGACCATTCTAACAATGTAGAAGCATAGATGATTCAGGTTCAAGTCTCTGGAAACATTCCCTGGCACTGATTAGTTCTCTAGTAAGGCTAATGTAGACATAGTATGTCTGCCACACATGAGGATCTCAGAACAGCACATAGAAACAAGATCCTAATGCCACTAGACAGCAGCTCCATGCTTATTTAAGGCAGTAAGTGACTTTGGACTTCTACTGGCACAAATCACAGAATTTGTTTTAGCACATTCTTAACTACCGTCAATTAAAGACATTCGCATCAAGAATTAAAGAACTAAAGCATTTCACAAGAAATTGGAAAATGTACAAGATACTATGTTAAATTTTAAAAACCTAAAAATAATAGTGAAAAAAATAATACTAAACTGAAAAAAGCAGCAGCAGCCAAATTCCCTGCAGAGGAATGGAGAATATATCTGTTTACCCATGCTCATCATCATCACCTACTATGAAACTTATTTATAAAGTAATGAATCCAGAGCATAGCCTGAAATGCAAGAGCTCACACAGGATAAACAGATCACAAGACAAGTAATCACCATACAAAGAGTACGTGTTAAGTACTTGGCAGGTATTAACATTACAAATGTGTCTGTAAAAGTAGCACTTTGACATCTTAGCAATAGGTTTCCCTGGGTTATGGCTTGGGCATGATAAACAGACCCCGGACCATTGAGGTCAGACTTTGTTTGTTCTCTGAGTGCTCCAAGGATTTCCCAGGTCTTTCCAGATCTTGAAACTGTCCTTTCCATACCTCTGATATTTGTCTTCCCACAATATCTTTGAGCCTCATTTCAGTGGCATTTCATTATAAAAGGCTGAATGTAAGGTAGGAACAGCCAAGGAGTGACTAATTATTTTATAGCTTCCATAAACTGAACACATGCTATATCAATTTAGAATGCAAAGTGGTAATTCCTATACTAAGAATTTCCCTTTTTTGGACTGAAATACTTCATACTCAATGTTTGGCAAACATGTCATATCCAGAAATTACAGAAACACTATCTCAGTAAAACATAAATCTATTGGAACGGAGAAACTCTGCAGAAGTCACCTTCTTGAACATATTACAGACTGCTTACAGTAGGTACTGCCTTGAGAAACAACCTGCCCGAGGGAGATAAGGGAGTCAGCACGGTCTCACGGGCATTGAGATAAAGTGCCACAGCCAAGTCCAGCTCCTTTGCATTACCATGACAGAAAAGTGTCTTACTCATGTCCTGCAGTGTCTAAAGCTTTGGTTTTGAGAAGGCAATACTTCTGCCCTTTATCCAGCTTAGCTCACAGCAAACAGGAAGCAACATTTCCATATTAATGTACATCAGTGTCCCAAAGGCAGCTAGCCTCTTAACTGTGTCTCACTTTAACAGAAAGGAATACAGAGGTCAGGATTCCCTTAAGGACAGGGAAGGTACTATTATTCTGACAAATTATTAACTTACACACTATCTGCTGTTTTTAATTTATCATTTTGAAAGGTCAGTCTGGAGGACTAAGTTACATTCCTTGTTCCAGAAAAGATATCCTTTGCAACTTTTCAAAATTCACATTATCTCCCTATTTTTGTGCCTCTGCTAGAAGCAGGGGAGTAATATAATCTTTCTTTTTACCTATCAATTGTCTAACTTACTAGGTTACAGAATCTGTACCGTTTTCTGTTTTATGTTCTCTGTCACAGATTTCTTGGGTGATCCCAGCCAAGCCACCCAGTTCTTCTATGTCTGTTGCCTGCTTGCTGATGACACAGGCAAAGAGGTGGTCCCATTTAATGTTGCTGGCTGCTAAAAAGTTGTTTCGGGAAGAAGGATTAAGATCCTCTTGTCACAGTGGTAAAAGCAGTTTGAAAGAAATCCTGTTGTTGGTACCAGTTTCCTTTTATGCAGACAGCATTTATTAAAAAAAAGGAAAAAAAAAAGTCAGCCAGACATTTCTTCATCCTCCTCCAATTCTGAGAGTAAGATTAACTAACGAAGGAATATACAGAGAGCAGCTGTCTCGGTCTCCAGCAGAAGCAGGACTGCCAGGAATGGTAAGTGTCTGGTGGACTGTAACTGATGCAAATTCTCAGGCTCATGCCAACTGGTGCCCAATGGACATCTCAATCCAGAAGCAGAGATTGCTGCTGGATAATCTCCCTGAGCAACTGCTTGCTTCACTTCCCCAGGAAGGTTGCTTACAGTGCTATGCATCTCTTCCCAAAAAAGACTACAAGCATTACTTGGAGCTGATTTTTAACACTCTCAATAAGAACAATTTAGGTCAGCAAAAACTTCTTTCTTTGGATTTACTGTTTCAAAATTTAATGCATAAATAATACAAATCATTATGGCTATTTTATGTGGAACTAGGGTCTGACCAGGCAAAAATGATAAATTAACACAAAGACAAGGGCACCATTCAGACAGTGCAGTGCTATTCAAATTTTTTAGTAATACTACTCAAAATAGAGATTGTACTACAAACCAAAAATACATAAGCTGCCCCAAAATATCTAGAAGCAGCACCAAAAAGACAGAATAGACACTTTGAGAAAGAATGGAAGGGGATAGAAGATGTATAGTATTTCACGGTCAATAACATGTTTAAATAAACTCTTTCAAATGTTACCTATTCAAAAGGTGACTAAATGTTCAATTAAAGCTTTTTCAATCTGGTATTTCCAACAATTTTCATGTTTCCATGACGCCCATTAGTAAACTATTATATTACCTACTCCTGCTTCTAAATAAAGTCAGTGCAAGTTTGATGTTGAACTGAAAATAAACAACTCAACTTGTTTCATTTATGATACAGCCACAGTTTAAACAGACATACAATAAAAAAGAAAACTCAACAATGAAAGCATATACAGTAACTATCAAATGATAATGGCATTACTAAAATACAAGTATTTAAGTTACATATGATCACATGAAAACAAACATGTAATACAACACAACACTAGTAGTATCCCTGTAAAACATTACAGATGGCTTGTCTCGCTGCAATATAAAACACCTGCTTAGTTACATCAAAGGCTTGAGAACTGAGACAGAAGTTCATTTATACCTTGGGAGAATATCAAGGATATAAAGAAAGCTCTTTGTCCGTGGATCAGATACATCACCTTGCAGGCCAACTCTAAGAAAGAATAAAGAAACACTTGTATATAACTTGGAGGAAACTGACATTTGACTTACATTTTTCTACAGAATGATCTAACTTTTTGCTTTGAGTTTCAAAAACAGATTCTGCAAAAGCATGGTGTATAGGCATGAGGACCTGCTCACAGAGGCAACATCCTAAGAATTGCTCTAAGGAATGAAAGCCTGCCCCTGGAATCCATCACCTCATAGAGAGGTTAAAAGTGAAGCATTCAGTAATGAAACCCACTCCCCAGTCCGCAAAACGTTTAGCATTCTGGTCTTGTCCAGAAAACCCCTTGAACATACTTGTCTCTGAGAGAACAAAAAAAATCAAACAACTCACTGACTGAAGTTCATGGGAATACCCAGCTATTTTATGTTGAATATATGAAAGTACTTCTACAAATTAAAGCCTCAGTGCTGACCATGTCGCAGGATTAAGCCCCATGTGTATAGCTTTGTAACCAATTTTATAACATTAAACTGGACAGCACATGCAGGTTATAAAAATGATAACATAATATAATGATTCCAGGCCTGTGTTCCTACAACTTATATTTGTATTAGCTTAAAAAGAATAAACACTTGATAGAAGAGCTTTAGGGTGTCTCCAAATTAAATAGTCATACAAAGATTTTTTTTTCACTATATTATAAAATAAAAGATTTTGAAGGAATGATTCCTATATACATCACAGGTTTGCACAAATAAATTTGTATAGATCAGCACCACTTTGGAAGGACTTCTTTTCAATCTTAGAGCATTCATTGAGATACATTTTCTTACACAAGTAGTTTCATCACCATCATCAGAATTTTTCATTAAGCTACTACTTTGCATGTGTACAGTTGCCAGGATCTTACCTCCACTGGTCACCACTGTCAAAACTATATGAATTTGAAACTAAACCACAAAATCATTTCAAAGACATTATCTTCCTAATCCTGGCTAAAATAGAAATATTCCTCAGAATAAACTACTTATGTGCACATGCAATTTTCAAAGTAGAGCAAAATGTTTGAATTTCACTGTTAGAGAAACAATATGGTATGGAAAATAGGTGCTGTAAGAAGCTTACTTCATTTTAACTGAATCAAAATATACATTACAAGAAATGGAGTTAAAAATTAAGATTCAAATTGCTCCCATTTCTTCCACTTCAGTAAGTCACAGGGTAAGTAGGGCTACAACATTGTTGCTTGGGAAGAGAAAGATACACAGGTGAACCACTCACATAATCGCTCTTGAAAACCTTTCTCTTTTAACAGTTCACATTGTAACAACTGCACTTTTCTCCAAAGTGTGCTGTATCTACCTTGTAAATGGCTGACAGGGAGGACTCATCAAAATCATATCAAAAGATAAAGTGTCAAATTCTTTCAGTGTTATGCCCTGAATAAGGAAAAAAAAAAAAACAAAACAAAACAGAACTTTGAGTGTTGTAAACTCTATGAAACTTTCAAGTCATCTTTGAGACCAAACTACCCCTCGTACTTTCACTATGTGCTTCACCTAGCAAAAAAATACCTAATCTCCCATTTGACCTACAGTTTCATTCTTTTCTGCCTTGGCAAATCATACAATGCAAATATACATTTGAATATGAACCAAAACACACTAATGATGTTAGCATCTATAAATAATCTTGAGATTTTTATCTACTCATTCTTTCAGAAGAGGCTTAGTGGTTCTTTCAGTAGATCACATCAAAATACCAACTGGTTATTTCCTCCAAGTAAAGTATAATTATTTAGATATGAAGTCTTTGTACATCAAAAAAAAAAAAAGAAAAAAATGTTAATTTATCCAAAACAGGTGAAAAAATATTAGATCCTCTCAAAAGACAAAATATCTGAACAGAAAAGTAGCTCAGGTGTCAACATGGTAATTTTTACAGGTCCAAACTGTGAGTTTTAACTCTTAGGAGCTGACTACCAATGCATCCTGTAAAGTTTACTTCATTTTAGTTTTTGCTGAGTAAAAATCTCTCAAAGATGTTACATGGCCAAAAGCTCTACTCTGCAAAAATATTTCTGTTCAGAGAAGAAAGAATTAGGTCTGTAGCATGAACTAATTATACACAGGCAGAATTTCCTCTAGGCTAATGTTAAGGAAAACTAGAAGGACAACATACTAAGGAGCCAGAGGAGAGGAGAAGGACAATGATCAAGTAATTATGAGCTAGACAAAGAAATCACTGCCTTGCATATTTTGAGGGATATCTGTATAGCAAATGTAACATAACTGCCCACAGAAATTAGACAAAAGCTGCTATTTTTCCAATAAATTTAAAGAAGATCTTACTGACTGTAATCTGCATATTTATATTTCCCATATAAAACTTTAAACCATCATTTAGCCTGTTATTGTTGAGTGCTGAATAAGCAGCTAACCTTTAGACACCTTGTTTAAGTCTTAAGCTGGTATCTTAAAACAAATTCAGTATCTTTTACTGTCATGTTGTAAAACTGTAAAAGATTAAAAAGTGTACAGTAATTTCTAACTAAATCCAAGTAAAGCCACAGGCCTAGTTTGCCCCTTGATTAATAAAACAGAAACAAATTTTACCTAGTTCTCCAAATAATTTGGAAAAGAGACAGAATTCCTAAACCATTTGATCTATTGAGCTCACAAAAAAAAACCCGCAAGTCTGTCCCATCCAGTATATTTTCTTGTTTTACTGAGCTCAACTATAACTACAAAACGAAGTCATGCCTTCAAGTAATTTAATTAAATTCTTTCAAAATACATGAAAATATTTTTTTAATCTAAAAATACGATTTTTGTCATTTCTTTACTGCTGGTAAGCATTCCTCTTGGCATTCACGTAACCCTTCTTGATGCAACAGCCAAGACTTTTCAGGAAAAGACTGCAGTGTGAGTATCCCTCTAACTTCAACACAAAACTACAGCACAATAAATCAAAGTTATTGTAAAACTGCTATATTCATAACAACATACATTAAATCTTTTTGTTTCTCATATTAGTAAGAAGGCTAGCGAAAACAACTTACATCTACTAACGCCAGATTACAGGAAGAAAATACATTCATTATTCACCTCAATTGTCTTTGCCCATAGTGGTGTGCTGGGAAAGTTGTGCTTATAAACTTCATTGGCAAGAGTGTTCACATCAACAGCAGCAACAACTTCTGCAGATGCGCAGCTTTCTAAAATTAAAAAAATAAATAAACTGTAGCTTCTCTTTACTCCTCTTGAAAAAATGTGTTTGTTCAGTTGTGTTACAGCTACACTCAAAAATAAAAGTGAAATTACAGGATCAAACTCTGCTGTGTTGCCATTAAAACTTTATATGAAAACTATACCGTGTTTCTAATCATATGGCCAACACTTCCCTCCCTTAGGTAATCAAACATGGAAGCTAACTGTGCACTTCTTAACTTGTAGATACAGTCACACATAAACTCCAAACAGGGCACATCTCTACAATGTTCCCACCTGCAGTCAGTTGGTCTCTGTGGCCACCAAGTTCCTTAGCTATAGCAATGCAGCCTGAGCCAACGTGCCGAGCCCCTCTGCCAACGCCTGAGACTCTCCAGCCACTGACAACTTACAGGAACTAAATGTGTTATTTTAGAAGTATACTACTTCTCATTGGGAAAAAATGGCACCAATAAATATGTCTGAAGTACATCTACTCTTGCAATGAAACTTTAAGAAGTCGCCTGAAAAACATTTGTGCTTATATTCCAAGAAGACCTTGGGCCTTGAACTTAGCTGCTGCCTCCTTTGGCTTCAAGGTCCCTACCACACTAAACGCTCTGAAGGACAAAATGTGGCAGCTCCTCTTCTTTTGGTATCAAAGGAAGTACTTCCAGACACTTAGCAGTGTTATGAAAAAGAGAGCACAGTGTAACAAATCTACTGACAGTTAAAATCCTGAAAGAAAAATACACTACAAAGAACGCAAACAAGCATCGGAAATAATAATAATATCGGAATAATAGGGTGAAACAGAAAACAGAAGAGTGCTTAATGCTGTCAATCCATGCTCATCATGTCACACTATTGATTATTACTAAACACAATTCCTTCACCGAGGCTTTTTACCCAGGACAATGGGCTGTGGTCACTGTTATAGCCACAGGCAGAAAACAGCGACCGTACTTCCTGATATACGAGACCAGTTTCAACCACCAGGAAATCGACACTATGGTCACCGCTAGAAAGCCCCAGATGTAACACAGACGATTTCAAACAAAATTTTGTAAGCCAAAAGAAACAAGGCAAATAGCCATATGCCTTTGAGGACTCTCACGACATACTCAAGTAACACATTAACAAATGACCTTATGAGGCATTTTATAAATTACTGCTAGTCAGCTAATTATTTACCATTTGAGAGGACGAAAAACCAACTACAATGTCTCCAGCGGATTTAATTCTGAGTGGTACAGTTATCACCCATCTTTCAAGTTTTCAAGGCCATCTTATTCAAAACTAAGACGAAAGAGAAATCCGGGTATTGGAAAGATTGTAGCAGACGTTTGAACAAAGACCAACCTGGTTCTCCTGGGTATACTTGGTGCAATAGAGGGCAAAAAGAATAGGAGTTTCACACGAAAATTATTTACAGACAGCAGCCTGTTAAGGGTCAACATACAAATCATTATTTGCTGTTACTGCTTTGACATTTTGACCATAAATTGTAACTGAAGTATTAAATACAGGTGTATCCAGGAGGACAACAGAATTCCTACACCTGAGATTACAGAACAGGTACGTTAACACTGACATCTAGCGTGAAAAGAACGCCATCTGAGCAGGTCGACTGTCTCAACTCACAAGCACATTCAAGAACCAACGCTGTAGCACCTAAGCAAAGGGAAAAAACTTCAAGTACTGTTTAAGAGATTGCTTTTCTCATTTATACTTTCAGTTCTTATAACACGTCCTGACAAGCTGATCCTTACTGTGTTTTCCAGGCACCCCAGAAGAAAAAAAAAAAAAAAGGAAGAACCTCAAATTATTATCTAAACTAACACATAGATTAAAAAGCAGTGTGCTTTCTCTCACAACTCACAATTCAGATGCTCATCCTTGTTACTAACATCAGTCCAATCTCTCCCTGCATACATGCAAGAAAACAGAAGTACTGAGGATTTGCATCAGGGGATTTACAGAAATGCCTGGAAATACTGAAAGAGAGCACATAGCTAATTGCAATTTATTGAATTCCCTTGCAATACAATGTTCATTGTAAACCAGAGATGTTAACCCGCATGGAAAAGGGACAAGAACCCTTTCTGAACTATTCCACCCGACATCCTCTCTTCCCAATTCAAAGACCTGATAATATTTTCAAAGCTTCTCCTCCTTTTCATTCAAAAGCAGTGGCTCACTTGGGAGTTCCTGTTACAGAACAGACTCCCTCTAAAAGCTGATTAAACATATTTGTGTGGAAATACCCTGGAAACGCATGAAGGAGCTCAAGCAGACAAGCAGATCTCACACATCCAATCTAACAAAGAAAAGCTTGTGTGGATTTCAAACAATGCAAAAATAAAACATTTTTGAAGAACTTCTCCTCCTGAAATTTAAATAACTTCAATGTCAATCTGTGATAGTCTGTTTTGCTATAGCATTTATATGTATTACTTGAAAATGACAGTAGGAATGTATCATGAAAAAGACTGAAAGTAGAATCTAAAAAAAAAAAAACAAAAAACCCAAACCAGAATCGAGACTGTGTTTAACTATCCCCACTGACAAACAGCACGAAAGCAACTCAGGGATATGAAAATGCCCCTGAACTGCTGACTTGATGAGATGTTCAATCAGCTCCCCAAAACATATAGCAGAACTTCAATACAGAAAGAGACACAGCTCTGGAAAGGGTTTTTTTTTCAAACAAAAACGTCCAATTTTCAAAACACAGCCATTTAAGAGAATTACAACTATGTAGAAAACAATTTTTATGCAGACTAAAGAAAAGACAATACACATTTTCTAAGTGAAACTAAGTAGCTGCTGGAATACTTGATTTGCAATACTCCTCCACACCACAGGTTTTGAACCCGGGCTTTGCACTCCTGAAAAAGCAACCACAGACATGATGGGGAAGTTACTGAGGGAGGTGTTATGGCTTAATTTCAGGCACATTAGCTTGTAGTACTGCCTCTTGGCTGAAAGCAGGTGTACTTAAATTTGTACGATCCTACTAGGAAAGTACTGGTTTTGCACTTGAGTCTTAAAACCACTAGGATCCACACAGCAGAAACTCTTTAACTGTTATTTAAATGGCCTAAAGAGACAGCAATAAAACGTCGGGTCCCAATTCTCCATTCTGTTGCATACACAATGCGTACGAGCCATTTCAGCCACGTAGTGGCCACTCCAGAGGCCACTCCAGAGAACTGGATGCTGCTGTAATGATTGAGAGGTGCAGCATTTGAAACAAAGGAAGACAAGATGTGTGCATTAGCTTCTGACTTGGAAAAAACAAACCCAAAGGGTGTCATCCTCAATCCCTGAAAATAAAATTTCTGACATTACAATATCTGTCCTTTTCCTCTTCAGAATCGATTCCTTTGTCATGTGTTTCTAGCAGACCCTAAAATTAACATAGATCTGTTTATATTCACCACTACTTTTTTAATAGAATCATCAATGTCAGCAGAGCACATGAAATACACGGTGTTACACCAAGGGCAGAGCCTGGCGGATCTCAGCATATCGGAAAATCAGAGCCAGAACAATTATCTATTCTAACAGGTATATGGAAACAGATGGAAAAGGGAAGATTAGTCAGATGTTTTGTCAGTCCTGTTTCCTTTTAAAACAGAGAGCAGAGACTTCACTTCTGGAGTTGTCAGCTCTTGGCTGAAATGATTAGGCTGAACTGCCCATGGCTACAGTCAACACAACTATCAGTAAACCTGATACTTGCTTCCTGCAGGATACTTAGCAACTTTTTTCACTGCTCTATTTCTACAGGATTTGTTCATGTTCAGCCATATAACTATGTAAATTTACACTGTAGCACAACTGGCACCATCCTGTGCTATAAAGAGCTGCGTTTTAGAGAAGCATTACATGAAAATGAGTTTAGGTGTAAAAACTTGCTCAAAATGGCAATATTTTTGTTTTGCATTGTGCTGAATTCTAAAGCAGCTTGCCGGTTTTGTCTCCTTTGCCTCTCCTCCTGAGATAGCTACGCTCAGTGTAATTACGCACACCAGTTTATCATGCTGTTCAATTCACAGAGATAATCAAATAAAATGAATAAACAGAGATTACAGAGTACAAGAGACTCAAATCCTTACTCTGTAAAACTGACATACAACAATTGCAAAGGAAAAATATCATCGACCTTATCACTGCAAAATTACGGTATTTTTTAAAAGATGTCCTTTCATGTTTTATGCATGGAGACTTTTTTCCAGTGACCTGGCAGATTACAAACGCTTGTGGGAGAGAACTGGAACCCATTTTTCATGGGAAAACTGCCTAAATTAATAAGCCAGTTTAAGTTTGTTTTGGTTGAGAATGAGGAAGAGCAGGCTGTTTGTTTCATGGAAAGCTGTTAAAAAAATGAATTTGTAGCCAGAGATTTTCTAAAAATAAACCACTGTATTTTTCACTGCAGAAACTCAGCACTTTAAAGAATACATTTGCACACACAAATATATACATGAAGTATTGTACGTTTAGACATATAGGATCTAAATATCAACCTTTATAAATCTCGTAAAGTTTGGAGCACAGGGTGGGAAGAAGGAAGAAATTCACTCCCACCTCTTAGTTGCCTCAATTTTTCAAGAGCGTGAATATGAACAGACTCGCTGACTTCTGACCTTAATCAAGCTCAACTTTCTAAATTATATCTTTTTGCATGATTTGCAGTTAAACTTAAAATACTATTATAAAGCATTCAAAATACAAAACTAGAAATTCTGCATATGCTGAATTATCTACAGATAAAGTATCAACACTAGACAACCTAGACAAGTTGGACAATCCCCAAGATTTTTCTTTTTCAGTTTTGGACTGAAATCTAAATTCAGGAACAGTCTTCTTTTCACTATCAAAAAGAGCCTGATCCAACTATGTAACTATGTACTAATAAATTCTACTACTGCTAATAGAGAAACACTTTTAAGAGAGTATAAGCTTCCATGAATATACTAAAATTCAATTATTTCTTACT